ATGGAACCCTTTGCCTCACATATGCTAGACAAATACTCTACCACTGAGTTATATCCTCTTCCCTTTTTAAAAAAAATTTGAACCGGGCATGGTGGTGCATGCCCACAATCGCAGCAGCTTTGGAGGCTGAGGCAGGAGGAATGCAAGTTCGAAGTCAGCCTCAGCAACTCACCATAGCCCTAAGCAACTTAGTGATACTTTGTCTCAAAATAAAAAATAAAATGGGCTGAGGATGTGGCTCAATGGTTAAGTACCCCTGGGCTCACTCCCCAGTGGAAGACCCCCAGATAGGGTCTCACTAAGTTGCCCAAGCTGACCTCGAGTTTTCTGTCTTCCTGCCTTGGCTTTCCAAGTAGCTGGGATTATAGGTATGTACCACCACGCTGAGCAGTGATTTTTTTTCTTGATGACTGAACTAATGTACCAGATAAAAGAAACCTTGGTGAATGTACATTTAGTACCATGGTGGTTAAGAAGCGGGGAAAGAGGAAGTGTCCCTAGTTCTGTGATTAGGGCCCAATCTTTTGGAGAGCCTGTGCCTCTGACTATGATTTTCACAAGTGCCACGTAGCCTTCCCCTGCCCCTCTCAGGTGGAATGGAGAGTTGAGTTATTTCCCTTCCCTTAGTTGGTTAGGCTCTTAAAAAAAAAAAAATTCAATAATGTAGGCACTGGGGAAATAGTTTTTCCTGAGTGCAGGCTATGTTAAGATGAATAGAATGCTCTGGTGTATTTAAAGATTGTTGCTTTTCTTCTCCCTCTTCTGGAAGCATGAGGGGATTTTTCTTTTATATATATATATATATATATATATATATATATGTGTGTGTGTGTGTGTGTGTGTGTGTGTGTGTGTGTATCTTTGGTACTGGGGATTGAACTCAGGGGCACTCAACCACTGAGCCACATTCCAGCCCTATTTTGTATTTTATTTAGAGACAGGGTCTCATTGAGTTGTTTAGTGCCTCGCTCAGTTGCTGAGGCTGGCTTTGAACTCGCGATCCTCCTGCCTCAGCCTCCCAAGCTGCTGGGATTACAGGCATGTGTCATTGCGCCCGGCTTTTCTGTAATATTTATTGTGAGAACCTGGTTGAGCTCCTAGAGGTACAACTCACAAAAGTGTGGGAGAGGAGGCTGGGGTGTGGCTCACTGGGAGAGGCCCTGGGTTCCATTCCCAGTACTGCCAAAAAAAAAAGAAGCATAAGAGTCTTCAATAACTGGGCCCCCCACCCCGGGGTTTTCCTAGACTTGTCTACACAGAGCCTCCAGTAGTTGGTCAGTTAGAGTTTGGGTTTTCCTACTCTGGTTCCTCAGAGTTCTCTTGCTCTGATAAGTTGGTGATTCTGTCCATCTGTCTTTCTATTTGGGGGACAGTGGTTTTGCCCGGTGACCTCACTTCTCAGATCCAGCAGAGTTGTGGATTTTTCAGTTGGTTCAGCTGTTTACTTGTTAGGATGAGAGCGGTGGTTTCCAAATTGCTTATGTGCCAGAGTGGAAGCGGTGGTGCTCTAGGTAGCAGTTTTTAAAAATTATCAACTGGATGCTGTGACGGTGGACTGTGGACATTCTGCTTTCTGTCTTGAGTGTTCTTTGTTCTCACCGGTGGCCAACCAGCAGGTTCTCTTGAGCTGCGGAGGCTGGTCTTAGGGTGTCACCTCTACTCCTAGCCTCAACTGCTTGGGACTTTGGTGGGACTCAGGAGCTGTTCCTCAGGCTGCTCTAAGTTAACGGAACCTTGTTTTACAGCCCGTCTCCCCCGTAGCAGGTGGCAGCGGAGCACCTCCTGAGCTATTTTGGTCTCCTGGCTGTTGCTGGAATCTCTGTCCTGGGCCTGTGTAGGTCAGGGGTCAGCCAGGGATTCGAAGGAGTTTATATTAGATTTGGAAGCTTCTCCTCTGTGGCTGCTCCTCCCCAGGATTCCCCCACCACCAATATCCGTCTTCTGTGGTGGTCCTAATTCTGACACCTCAAGCCAGACAGGCCCCAGCTTTGGTCTCTGTTGCTACCAGCTTCAGGCTACAGACTAGGAAGTGTCCCCAGGAAAAATCTGAAACAGATCCAAACCAGCGTGGCTTCCTTCTTTCAAGGGTTGGATCTCTTCCAGTTTCTGCCTGTCGTGGTTATTTTCTATCGTCTTTATAATTTTTATTTTTAGTATATTGCCTAGAATTTACTATTGTTATCTAGAAGAAGGTGGTTCTAGAAAGACTATTATTTCCTCAAATGGAATTATTTGATTTTTACAAGAGAAGGCAATCCCAACTTTTGCTTGATTGTCAAAGCTCATGTCACTCCATGTGCCCCTTACTGGTAATGAAGAATACAGTCGATGCTTCAAACTATGGCAGGCCTGGTAACCCCTGCTCTCTATAACAGCCTGTATCTTGATGGCAGGAGGGAAACCACTCATGGAGGGCCACCCCAAGGCTATGCACTCTACTGATTCTTCTCAATATTTCAAATTTTATTTCGGGTCTGATTATATCAGAAAACTGTATCCTCAGGTAGCACGGCCTGGCCCCTTTAGATTTACTTCTGCTGAATTGCCCTTGAGCATCATGCTCTAGTCTCCAGGCCACAAGCCACAGAAGGACCATCCTAATCACACAGTTATATTTTTTGTTAAGAATGTAACTGGGCAGCTGGGTGCAGGGCACATGCCTGTAATCTCAGAGGCTCAGGATGCTGAGGCAGGAGGATTGCGAGTTCAAAGCCAGCCTCAGCAAGTTAGCAAGGCCCTGCCTCTAAATAAAATATGAAAAGGGCCGGGGATGTGGCTCAATGGTTAAGCACCTCTGGGTTCAATTCTCAGTACCAAAAAAAAAAAAAAAATGTGAATAGGCAGTCTGTGGTGCAGGGTCCCCTAGAGGAGGAGCCACTAGAAGATTTCTCAGATCCAAAGGCCAGAAAAAGCTCAGCTTTTCCTAAGAAATTAATGATTTCTTTGGGAAATTTTAATTTCCAAAGACTGATAATGTTTGGGCACTAAGATGCTCAGAGGCAGATATTTATTTATATATATGTGTGTGTGTGTATGTATATATAAATATATATATATATATATATATATATATATATATATATACTTATGTATATATATTGGGGGGGTAGGTTGGTACTGGAGATTTAACCCAGGAGCATTTTTACCACTGATCCACATCCCCAGCCCTTTTAATTAATTAATTAATTTATTTATTTAATTTTGAGACAGGGTCTTGCTAAGTTGCTTAGGGGCCTGGCTGAGTTGCTGAGGCTGGCTCTGCACTTGCGAACCTCCAGCCTCAGCCTCCTGAGCTGCAGGGTTTATAGGTGTGTGCCACCACACTCTGCCAGACTATATTTTTGAACTTCTCTCCTACTTACCTTTATTTATTCAATTATGTTTATTTCTGCCAGATACCTTACCTCCCTTTTACAGAGATAGAGGGGAGGGACATCATCAGAATCATTAAGAGCCGAGGATGTGGCTGTCCCTCCTAACATTCTTATCATCCCTCTTTTGGGACTGAGTTAGCAGCCCCAGATTCTAATCCATGTAAGAATTTCATCTTCAACCCAAAGCGAATTTACTCATCTTCCCTTCCATCTAATTCACCAGTTGGTATTCAAGAAATCAGTTTTCAAAGAACTCGATTTGCCCTGAAAGGGCAGAGATGAAAGATGTTTGAAGGACTGTTCTCCTGGCTCCGAGGAGATGTTCCAGATCATTGTAAATGACAGGATCGTCACTGGAAGGGGGAAGAGATTCTCGTGGCAGTTTCTCTGATAGGGAGGACAGTCATCTGGGTGTCAAGTGCTGCTATGTTTCATTTGTAATCAATCCCAGGTCTCCTCTTGACAGCACAGAGCCAAGGTTGAGTCTGATGAGGTGCATGTGGTCATCCTTTCCTAGGTGGAGCCAGAGCTTGTGACGGAAGCATTGGGCCTGAGCAGCAGCAAGATCCTCCTCTTATTTTCGATCTCCAAGAAGACACTGCAGAAGGGGAGCCTCTACAGAGAGCGGGTGCCGAGTACCAGGCCGTGCTGCCCAAGGTCAGGAAGGTTCTCGCAGACGTCCTTCAAGACATTGCCAATGACAACATCTCCAGAGCCGATTACACACAGGATCCTTCAGTAATTCCCTGTTGTAATCCCTACCAAATCGCCTGCCGCTGCCAAACCACGTAACCGGCCAGTTTTTCCACTGAGGGATGGCTGGAAATCAGACGGGCAGGTTCGCTTTCAAACTTGATTTACCCTCTTTACCAACCTAGGCTATAAAAACAAGTCTCGGAATTTTGTCTGGGGGCCACCACTTGGCAACTCCTCTTTGCATACTTTCCCTTTTCCGTGCTGTCCTGAGGGATGCCCCTGAGCAGAGCTGGGTCTGGGGTGGTGAGTGTAGTGCAATGGAACGCTCACCGGCTTCAGAGTCAGGCACAGGTTCCAGCCCCAGGATTTGACCTTGGGCAGTTCACCTCACTTGCAAGGTGATTTCAAAGGTTAAGTAAAGCAGTTTATGAAAATGCATCGTGTGTCACCTGACACAGAGCAGATACCTGGTGTGTTTTAGTTTCCTCTTCACATTAGTATAGACTGGTACCAACCAGTATGTGCAGACCATCCCCATCTTTATTTTTCTTTTATGTTGCTGGGGATTGAACCCAGGGCCTCATGCATGCCGGGCAAGTGCTCTACCACTGAGCTACACCCCAGCTCTTCCATCTGTAATAGGCATACAAATCACCTGAGATCCTGTAAAAATGCAGACTCTGGCTCCGAAGGTGTGGAGGCGCCTGAGCACTCACACCTCTGGCAGGCTCCCAGGGGATGCCGGGAGCAGCGAGGTAGCTGGACCAGATGAAGTCAGGTCCCTTTCCAGGTCTCGGAGCACGAGAGTCCAGGGCTAAGCCCGTGACCCCTTCCTCCTTCCCCCCTTTTAAAGGTCAAGTGAGTGTAGTGTCAAGACTTCTTCCTGAACCCTGAAGCTCCCAAGAAATAAAGTTTAAGAAAACTAAAAAATGCATTGCCATGATTTTATTATTAGTGTCCTAAATGGGACTTGAAGGTAATAAATGATTTATTCCAATCACTGCAAAAATACTTTGCCTGGCTAAAATAGTTTCTCTCTACATGGATGTAATATACAAGAAATACAATTCAAAGAGATTTTCCTATACATACATTTTTTTACACAGCATACATTTAAAAAGGATGCCCTTTTTCATATAAAATTCCGGTTATATACCAATATGGTTAGCTAACATTTACACTGTGGTTTGAAGATATTTTAAACAGCGTGGTATGGATACAGTGTCCCCCATGCCCACAGGCAGCCAGGGCCAAGGGGCATGGTGAGGCGTTAGCCGCGTCCTGTGGCTTAGGCAGTGCAGCACCCAGGACTGTCCCCTTTCTGCTCACACAATCGCACTCCATTCTTCCACCTTCCTTGTTCTCTCCAAAACCACCTGACAGGGGGTGTCCTGATTTCTGAGGTGCACAACTCGTCATGACTGCTTCGTTTTGCCCTTCTGACTTCCACGGCACAAGATTATCTACCAAAATCAAAACAGAACGGCCTTACTCTTCCCAGGAAAAGGCTGGTGGGCAGGCAGGCTGTGTCACCCGCATGGCAGGCTGTGCCATGGGGGCTGGCAGGGGAGGCTGGGCACTGAGGAGCTTTTCCATCTGAACCACAATTTGACTCTCACTTGGACACCACGTCTTATGTAGGTGCAGGCGAGGATGGCACAGATTCTGAAATGCTACCTATGTATAAAATGTGTGCGCACGTGTATGTGTGTACTTTAACAAAAGGCTCATCTTGTAAACACAGCCTGCTAACTCATTATAGAAGTCAGTAGACACCCTCGGTCCCAATTGCCTTACTTACTCTTGCTCACAGGGTTAAGACTGTCTCCCAAAATGCACAGAATTGAACATTGGCCTGTTACTGAAACAGAGGTTGCTCACCCTCCCGAAGACAGCCTCTCCCTAAGCTGCCAGAAATGATCCACTTACTTTTCTTCCACTGTTCTCAGAGCAAAGTAAACCCCAAGGAGAAGACTGACGATAGGTAGGGCCGCGTCAGTATATTTTGCAAAGATCACTAGTGACAACCCATGTTCTTAAGGCTGAGGCCCAGGGAGTCCTGAGGCAGACTCCCCAGGCAAGCCTGGGATCCTCTCTGAAAGAGACGTGGTTTTCACCAACCCGAGACTCCAGGATCCTTTTGGGGTCCCAGAAGCTATTAGGAATATGAGTAAAGAGACAGATATTTGCCACAGGCCTGTCAAGGATTAAGGCAGAGAGGGGGTAGTTTCTAGAATCTCTAGTTGGACATTGCTGCCCCTGTGGGCATACCTGAGGTGTGCCATGTCGAGCAGCTGCCAGGAGTGGTTGCCCCTGGTCCTCCTGTGGCCAGAGAAGCCTGCCAGCTGCTGATCCCATGCCTCAGAGGGAGCACTGGGCCCCCTTACCATCTACCTGCAGCCTCAGGGGCAAGCTGAGCTCTCGTGGCCACCACAGTGTCTCATGCCTGGCCTGCACGCAGGGCTGCCCGATATTCCCTGGGACCTGACTCAGTGATCAGCAGTCTCACAGGCAGGAAGCATCTGTCTTGCATTAAAGATTCTTGATGCAGTTTAAGCCAACTGTCACTCACTTGGTTCTTAAGCAGGTGGCAGGACAATGAGCTCGTTCCTAGCTTCCTGGCAGCATATATGTGAACGGGCTGGTGATAAGTTTGAGTATCAGTTTTTAAAGTAAGCATCTCCGATTCATATATATATTTTTAACCCCAAACAAATGCACACAGGGTGCCTGTTATTTCACACAGGTTTTCTGTAGTAACAGACTATCTCATAATTGCCTAATTACCCTAATTCTCTTAATATAAGAGACTGCAAGCTCTGATTACAATTAAGAATCTAATTAGTAATCTAGTACTCACAGATTTTTACCAAAATTACTGAAATGGAACCCAGTGAGTGTCTGGATGCTCTAAACGTTGATGGAGTAGGGTGGTCACATTTGTCCCCACTGCGTCTAACCTGGAGTGCTCTGGTTCCCAGAAGGCACAACTTCAGATAAATAACCACCAATTCCTGAGACAGAGAAGCTCCCTTTAGAGCTGGTTGGCGTCATGAGAACTCAAAGGCAAAACAACGGGCTCAGGAAGCAACTCTTAGGTAGGAAGCCAACAGATGTTTTCAAAATTTATAATTAGGATTTTTAAGCACACTCCTGTCCGCCACTAAAACATAAATATGGCTGGCTGGCAACATATTTGGCAACCTGCCTATTAAAAGCCAGAAATGTAAATTGCAAACTGCAATTCACAGAGCCAATGTGGGAAGTCACAAATGCCCCCCAGTTGTGCACAAATGACCCATATGAGCTGTCTCTTTTTGGCCAAATAGGCTTACTAAGTTGTCCCATGGATCTTGGGGAGAAAGAAGCCAGACCTGCATGTCAGTCTTTAACAAATCGATCTCAACTGACACAAAACCATGATCAGGACAGGGCACTCCCTACCCAGGCCCATGGGCGCTGCTCACAGCCCACATGGCCACTCCTCGCATCCTCTCTGGTTCCAAGTTGGCCCAACACTGCTGCCGTCTGAAAGGATTTCGGGTGGGACTCTCTTGGAGGTTTTCTAACAGAGGCTTATGAGAAGGGTCTGTGTTGCTCCAAACAGAAGGTTGAAGCAGCAGCAGCCAAGGAGGCCCTGGGAACCCCTCTTCCCCCCAGGGGAGAGACTCTTTTCTCCAGACCCAGATGTTGGAAGAAACCAAGCCCCATGCTCAGCCAGCACCGGGGGCCTTGCTGGCAGAACAGCTGGAGCAAGGTGCTGGGAAGCCCTGCAGGGGGCTCAGGTGAGCTCCCACACCCCAGTTTCAGCTCAGCTCCCTGTGGCCAGCTCAGAGTCCCAAACACAGCCCGGCCCTGTTAACTCACTACCTCCAGCAGCAGAAAGGCAGGGTCTGCAGAAGCCTCCCTGGCAGCCTAGGGAGAGGAGAGTCTCCCACAGACAGAGGTTCCTACCTTGTGAGCTGCGACGTCAGCGTACAGAAGCAGAGGAAAGGGGCGGAGGCCTCTGAAGGTAGTGAGCACCCAACACCCTGGGTTAGTACTTGGTTATTCTAACACTGTCAGGTTGAGCATGACACCTAACCGCTGGTCTGCGGGGTCCGAGGTACACACAGTGACATTCTGCGGCCCTCAGGATTTTAGAGAGGATTAGTTGTTAGGGACTAGAAAGCAAGGAAAGGGACTCTGCCTCCTCTCAGAGACAGAGCTTCCTTCTGGCACAGACAGAGCGGCTCTTTCAAGGGTTCCTAGTGCTCACAGGGGGAAATTCACGCTCATCATCAAGACACACTGGTCCCGTGGCAAACTCATGTTCCGGAATGACCTCTCCACGGAGCGCCCCGCCGTCCTCAGAATATCCTGGAAGCCAAAAGTGAGAAAGGGAACAAGCTACAGGGTCAGTTCTTACCGCATGACCCAGGGCAGGACCACAGGGGAAAGGACCACCAAGAAACCCGGGAGGTGTCTTTGCCTCGGATGGCAGGGATGTCTCAAGATGGATGTCAGTCCCCACGGTTAGTCTCTGAGCCTCTGAGAGGCGGGCGGCTCTCACCTACCCGTCCACCTCCAATGCCTGAAACTCTGCATCTCTGGAGTTCTCCAGGATACAAAGGGTTAAGGCTGCTTGTTAAGAAAATGAGCCCTGTGGGAAGCCTGTGAAGGCCGGAGACCCAGGGTGAAGGCTGTTACAGGCCGCACCTGCCAGGGACCACGCAACCACGCAACTCAGGGACAGCGCTCCACCCCCAGAGGGCCGAGAGGAGAAGGTGTCCCCATTGGTGACCCTCCCGGTGGGCCCCACATCCACTCACCTGGCACAGTGGAGGTGGAAGATGAGCTGGGCCTGGCTACAGTCGCTGCGTACGTCTGAGGTAAGGAAGGTCTGAGGTCGTTTTCTTTGTTCTCTTCTGTGGATCCGGAGCCAAGCAAGCTACTTGCAGCAATGAAGGGGGAGGGGGATAAAAGAAATCACCACATATCTAGGACACCTCCAAAGGAAGAGCAGAGGCCTGCGCCTGGCTACTGGGTGTGAATTACAGAGCCGCCGGGACGCTGCTGGGTCAGTGTGAACTCAAGGGGCCTGAAAGTGCCAGGGGTCAGTTATGTTCAAAGGGACCCCCTTCCCTTATATTTAATAAGCAAAGATTGGCCCTCTGTCCTTCCTGGCACCCTCAGGCAGGGACACCGAGACGAGCTAACATAGATGGGGCAGAGGGGAAGGTATGGTGGCAGCTCAAGGTGTCTTGTCCACAGCAAGACGAGGCCAGCTTGCACTTGTCACAGAAGTTCAGAGGACTTTTCAATAAAGGGATGTGACATTTCCGAATGCCCACTGGGGCTGAGCCAAGCAGGGAGACCTTCTAGTTGGAGTGTCGTCCATCCCGGCACTGTCCAGGGGGGACAGCACGCAGAAGACACCTGACAGAGAGCTTGACCCAGAGCAGGTGCCTGCCCGGGGTTGCCCCTGAAACTGCTGGTGAGCCGGGAAGGAAAGCAGGGGCACTGAAGCTGGTCACTGTTCCCAGTGAAGTGACGGCTCTCCCGCAGCAGCTCGGGGACACCGTCTGAAAGCTGCAGTCTTTACCTGTGGGTCTTGATTAGGACACACTCTCCTCCATCCTGTGGGTCCAGGTTGTAGATGTAAAGGTGTCCACTGGAGGAGGCGACTAGCAGCCTTGGCAGTTTCTGGATCCTAAGAGCCAAGTGATACATACACTCTGAGAGCAGGAACAGGGTGGGTAACAGTCAGCCTCCCCGGACGACTAGCGTCAATGCTCTTCTCCTGCCACCAACAATCCTCGGCCCTGCTGGTCCAGGTCCAGGCTCGGGCCATTCCTTGGCCTTCTGCTCATTGCCCACTGGCAGGATTATTCCTGGTCTTTGAACATAATTGTGTGGATGAGGCAAAACGAGGCGTGTTGGCGCTATTATCCTGTGGAAAGCTACGTCCCTCGCTCACATGCACCTCAGCCCTTGACAGTGACAGAAAGGGGGAAGTGTACTGTCCGCTCACCTTCTTAGGTGGTTAGGTTCATGACATTTAAAAAATGTGCCATTTCTTTAATCAACTCCCCTAAACTTCTTAAATAAGATGCCTGTCAGCCCCTAGGGGTTGGAATCTAGACAGTGGGACTTGAGGCTTTTTACCTAATTGCACAAAAATAGAGATGGTTTTCAAGACAGTGTCATTATACCCAGCTTCCGGCTGGCCTCTGAGAATCCATATTAAATCCAGAGAGGAAGAGCAGCGGCTTGGGTCCGCTCGCCCTTCTTTTGGGTCACTTTTCCCTTCTTTCCTGCCACCTTTGGGGGTTGTGAGCACTGGGCGAGTACATGGATACAGGTGTGTCTGTGTAGGGCGGGTGCACGGTACATACGTGGAGAGGGTGCAGATATTCCTCTGCCCCGAGAAGTTCAAGCGTCCGGTGGCAAAAGCCCTGTCCTGATTCATCATGTCCGACACCTGGGCGGGGAGGTAGTTGGTAGCAGCCATGAACATCTTTCCCATGTAGCCACTCCAGGTGGAAGGTTCTTCTGGGCGACTGGGGAACAATTAGAGGCAAGGGTAGGACGGGGCGGCAGGTGCTGGCTCCGTCCAGCCATCAGCATGCCCATGTTCTTAGCTGCCCTTACCGCAGCGGGCAGGAGCTGTCCCTTAGCACAGTGTTCTGCCCACAAGACACATTATTCTGGCAATTACGGAACAGCATCAGGGACCTGTTTGTCCTTCAGAAGAGCCACTGTAAAGCTGTTAAGAGGTTCCCAGTGCTACTGCTTGCTTACATTAAAAGAGTGTATCAGATGATCAGTCTGATTCCTAGATTTCCAAAAGAGGGCAAGGGGAGAGAATGAGATGGAATCGATATGTGGGCCCTGAGAAATGAGCTGGGGCCTGTGCAGGGCCCAGGGAAGAACACACAGAGCTCAGCGTGAAACCGCCCGAGCCAGACTGAGTGGGAAGAGAGCTTCCGGGTGAGAAGCTTTGGGCAGCGTCTGGGTATGGCCCTGGCCACCTGGTACCCAGCATTCTTAATGCCGAGAAAATTCATAGGAACCTGGTAGGTCCCCTCTGGCCTCCGAACTTCATCCTAATGCCTCTACCAGACAAAGGGGTAACTGCTCCATTGGTGAGAGACACCTCCATCACTGTGTTCCTCACCGTGGGTGGCAAATCAAGGACCAGGGCTACCGCATGCACTCCCAGGAGCCCTGGCTGGGACCCCCTCATCTGTGGGAGCAGATCCTGGTGGGACATGGACACTGCAGCCCAGAAGGCCTGCAGTGGGCTTGTTTCTCAGGTTACTAACTGGCTAGGTGGCCTTTGGACGAACCTGTCTGGGCCTTGATGTTCTCAACTGAAAGTGACCCTCTAGACACCCTGTACTCATGGCCCCGGAGCCCCGAGTTCCAGTTGGGACGTCCGAGGAGGAGTAACAACCAGACCCTGTGTGCACAGCAGGAACGCAGCACAGGGGCAGAGAGAGAAAGCCACACGGGCAATTGTGTGGGGCCACGTCAATGGTCCAGGCAGGAGCTCCTCCTGGGTCACAGAGGAGCAGAGGTGGACGAGGCTCTTGAGCCCCTGTTCCGTGTTTCAGAGCCCCTCCTGGTCAGCTTGCTGGGAGGACTACGGGAGCCACGTACAGCTTGGCATGTGACAAGTGCAGTTATGAGATGGCTCAAGGGCTTTGAGAGGTTCTGGGGTGGTGGTGGCCAGGCTCTGTGGGCAGGAAAGGAGCTGGGAGCTTCAGAATATAAGGAGAGAAGGTTTCTGAGGAGGAGTGACATTTTCAGAAATTAATCCAGCAGGAAGATATGGGATGGATGGGTCAAAAGTGACCAGAAAGAACAAGACCAGAGAGAAGGTCAACAAAATCAAAGACATGGGCAAGGAGGGGCAGGAGCCAGTGAGGCAGGACTAAAGAGGCATGTCATAGAGGACACACAACACTTCATGGACAGGCTGCGGGAGCATCCAGAAGGGCTGGAAGGTTCTGCCCTGGTCACCTGTGGTCACCGACAGAAGTGGGAGAGCTGGGAGAGGGCAGTGAGTTTCCTGTCCTAAGCACCAGCCACAGGCCCAGGAGACAGGGCTGGAGCAGCACGTGGGAGCACTTGGTCACTCGGGGACCTCCAGGGCCCAGCTGACTACAATGTGAGAAGCAGAAGCTCCAGGAGAGACCAGGGCTAAGGTCCAAAAGTTGTCTGGAAAGTACAAAAAAGTCTAGAAAGCAGATACAGCCTCTGGGGAGAGTGTGCAGAGTAAGAAGTCTAGGGCAAACCAAGCTTTGGATACGTCCCCAGAGGGACGGGTAGAGGGCTCTGGGGAGGATGGGAGCGGGCAGCCCCAGTGTCCCCAGCACGGGTGCGGGGTGAGGTGACCAGGGAAGAGGCTTCACGAGCACCGTTCTCCCCGGAGGAGAGGCAGAATCTAGATGGGAAACCACAGCAACGTGGCTGCTGGTGCCCAGGCATGGAGTGTTGGGGTGAGGGACAGAGGCCAGGCATGGCCTCACACATGGCACACCAACACATGCATGAAGGTGGGGGCACCACCTCGTCTGACGAGGTAGAGAAGGTCTTTCTCTGGTGGACGTTCTATCCAATTAGATGAGTGCTTCCAACCACGGAAGAGAAGCTCCTCTTGGCACAGCTGTGAATCCCACCCAGAGTCTACACTCGGATGCTCACTGGCCACTCTGGGCTCCGCAGAAGCGGGGGGTGTGAAGGGCAGTAAGTGCTGCTGTGGATCTGGACCTCGAGACAGGCTGGCTGTAAGCAGGACTCTGAAAGCTCAGTTGACTCCTCCTATCTGCTGCCTTCTACAAACACTGTGGGCCGAGAGAGGAGGGCGGGGGGCCGTGTGAGCTGCTCTCCACGGATGACCCTGCCACCCGCTCTCAGAGTGTAACTGAGCAAAAAAATCACTAACACTCCACGTTTCAGTTCCCTCAAGTGACACCAAAAAGAGGTGTCAAGCACATGAGGTGCCTGAGCCTGAGGAAAGGCATGAGCCATGTGCTGTGGCTGCCAGAATCCGGGTCTGGAGCACACGGGGCAGGAAGGACAGTGCCAGGTGACACTGCGTGGTCGGTGCCTGAGAGAGGGGAATCCTCCACCTCATCCCAGCGCAGGGGGCTCCTGAAGTGAACAGGGTCACACACCCAGCAGGTGCTCAACAGCTTAAATAAACACCCACACACCCTGGCAGGCAGAATTCCTAGGAAGGGCCCCAAGGCTCCACGCCCTGGTCCCTGGAGCCTGTGATGGGGATGAGATAAGCTCCAAGCTGTGCTCTGTTATGTGGCCCAGGTGACTGCCCAGCTGGGCTTGCTCTAGTCACATGTGTGTTCCCTTAAAAGCCGAGCACTTTTTCTGACTGGTGGCAGAAAAGGAAGGCAGAAGGGCAAGTGGGACAAGTCACAGGTATGACAAGGAACTGACATGTTGTTGCTGGTTTGAAGGCTACATAAGGAGCAGGTGGCCTCTTGGAGATGAGAGCAGTTCCCTGCTGACAGGCAGCAAGGAAGCGGAGACCCCACTGCCACCCCCTCAAGCACCTGCATTCTTGCTAGTGACAGGAATGAGCTCAGGAGAAGCCTCGAAGCTCCTGATGAGGACACAGCTGGCATTAGGACAGCTCCATTTTGCCCTTGAGAAACCCTGAGCAGAGAATCCAGCCATGCCATTCTGGGCTTCTGATCTCCAGAACTGTGAGATAACAAATGTGTGCTGTTTGAAGCCATTACATTGGGCTGATTTGTTATAGCAGCAGTAGGAAACTAATACATACACCACTGGCTACACTGTGACAGAGACTTTATGGCCAACCCTCCCTCCACTCCTGTCACTCGGGGACACTGGAAATGTTTACCAAGCACTCACGTGGTGGCAATAGATAATAGATGTTGTTATATTCATAGTGCCCCTGGTTAACAATTATTGGTGCTTACTATCTGCCAGGCACCGGGCTACGCTAAATGCTTTATAACCACACACTCAGGCCATGCTCCTTTGCAAGATGTGTGTACTATCATTACATTTGTTCTGCGAATGAGGAAACTGAAACACAGAAAGACTAAATGACCTTCCCAGGATATCACAGCTCCTATGGGGCTGAGCTGGGGTTTGGTCTCAGCATCTTGGCCCCAGACTTTGAGCTTTCGTGCATGATGCCACAAAAATTTTGTTAACATATACTTTTCCACTTTGGGGAAGACAAAGCCGAGTTGATAGCTCTCAGGAAAAATCTCCCTTGCTGAGAGTAAGCAGGGCCTGCCTCCTTTTGTCTGGTGAGTGCTCTGCGTTGGGTGCGGCACTTGCCTGGTGGCGAGGTGCTCCAGCTTGAAGATATGCACGGTTTCAGTGTTGCTGGAGGCGCACAGGAACTGCGAGTCCATGCTGAAAACTAGGGAGCTGATTGTCACATACCTAGGAACAGCAACACAGGCAGTGAGCCAGAAAAACGTGGGCTGTCACCTTGTAGTTCCAAGATCAGCCCTATGAGAAAAGTGAATGTATCACACCGAAGAGCTGGGTGTTCTACCTCCTTCACTGCGGTGCTGTTCATATGTAGAAAGCAGCAAAGGATCACAGGCTTAGGTGTGAAGCACCGAGGTGTGGCCCTTCCTCCCAGCCAGCCAGGGGCAGGCTCACACCTTCCTGGCATCTTGCAAGCCCCCCTGCTGCTCTGTCACCCATCCAGCTGCAAACCAGACAGCAGTCACACTTTACATTACCCCTTATCTCCATGAAGGGCATGGGGACTTATTTTTGGATTGTGACACCCTGGCTCTCTTTCTCCTGGCTGACTACCCAGCAGGAAAGGGGTCATAGGGCTGAACTCTCAAGTTCAAACAGCTCCTCTGCTCTTGATTTTACTAAGCCTCAGCTGGAGCCCTGGAGTTAATTACCTGAGAAAGGACAGCAATACCTCCTCTAGGGGGGAGGAGGCCGCACGGCCATCTCTGGCCTTTCCCTAGACAGCTGCCACCAGCCACTGCAGGACTTCTGTGGGGACTTTCAAATGGTTTGACACTGAACACACACCTTTTCATCCCTCTCCGAAACTCGTAGAGCTTTTGCCCGTCAGGTACAGAGAACACCCGGATGACTGTGCCCTGGAAAAGAAAGCAGGTGGACGTGTCCCGATTGCCCATGGCTTCACACAGAGATGTCCCTTTAGAGAGGAATTTCTTTTATTGGTTTTGAACATCTGTCTCTGAGGAGGAAGCACAAAGTGTTGCGCATAGAAGCGTTTAAATTTGTGCATGTGCCAAACAAGCAATTTTTGGAACATGTTTTAAATATTCTTGGTTTCCCTTTCCTTCCCCGCCCCAGCCTATGGCTCTGTATGTGTGTTTCCCAAACTATCCTGGCATCCTAGAATGTCCTGCCTCTGCTTATCAAAATACACAGGCTTTTCATGGCACGTGAAATTCAACTGGACCACCTCCCCTGATCATTCCAGTCAGAAGAGATCAGTGTCTCCAGCTAAATAGCAGAGCTTTTATTTATACTGCATTTATGAAATGTAGCATCCACCTGTATCTATGGATGACATGCATACATATTTCTCAATAAGGCCCCAAGACTTTGTGCCAAGTGTCTTGTACCTTATATAATGTGGGCCTTTGCTTGACTGAGTTAACAAATGCATTAATAGACCACAACATGCAGGGACTAGAAATCCTCACTTGGAAACAAATTCTGAGCAGGCCCGAGACCAGCTGGCCTCATGTCACCAGCCTTGTTGCATCAGATCTCTGGGCATCTCAAGAGCCATCCAGGGGACTCCCTGATGGCAGGAGATGCTGGTGTATACTCACTTTCTCAGATGCGCTTGCTAGTTTGGAGCCTGAGGAGTTGAAGGTGATGGCGGCCAGCGTCCCTTCATGGGCAGCGATGGTACAGACGGTTTTCTGTTGGTGAAAAGGAGAAATGCATATCGGTGCTGGGGAGGAAGGAAGATGGATTCCATCTCCCTCTCCTTCCTCTTTTCTTCCTTCTCCTTCTCTTGCTGGGCTTCCTCTGTCTCCCTTCTTTCCCCCAAAGTTTTTGCATATGAGCTGCACATCCTTTTGTTAGTGTATGGAGATCTGATTTCAAAGCTACTCCATTTCTGTCCCTTCTCCTGCCCTTGGAAGATGGGTCACAGTTGTGCCTGGTGCTGTGGTGCTGTCATGGGCTCTCCAGGACACGCCTCTTCAGGGGACTTCCTACAGCAAAGCTGCCCTGCTCTCTGAAGCCTCAGAAACCAGATGGCAGGAAATGTGGACCAGCTGCACTCCGTCTCAGGCCACAGCTTGGTGACTCCGTGCAGTGTGACCCATCCAATCAGACAATCAGCCACCATCTGCCAAGTGATTCCATTCTACTGCAGATGTTCTGCCCTGGCCCAGCATGTTCTGCCTCCCGGTGATGCTGTCTGGCGGCAAGGCCCAGGGCAAATATCATCACCTTCTCCCCGCACCCAGCTGCTGTGACCAGAAAACACCCTCAGCATTGCTTCCACCTCCACACTCCTTATCTTCCACCTTGAGGGGCTCCTTATCACATTCCATTCATCACACAGCCAAGCAGGTGGGAGGGCGCTTAGGGACCACTGTCAACTTACCAGGGAGTTTCCATCATAAAGCACAATCTCGCCTGTCGTCAGGCTTCCAGGATAGGCCAGGTAAGAATTGGAATGGTTGATAGAGAGGGCACACAGACCTGGCAAAGAACAAACGGGAGATAAGGAGCCAGTGTCCCAGGGGAGAACATGGTGTGCTTGAAAAGGGCCCCTGAAAATGGCACAACTAGAGCGCCACCTTCTGGTGAGGGAGGGGTGGCGTGCAGACATTGACTTTCCCTTGATTATTCTTATCACAGGATTCCAAGAAAGAGAATTCACAGAGGAAGAGCTCGTAATTTAATGCTGGCCATGTTCTCTCCCTGGCTAAGCAATCAGAATGCGGAATATTAAAAATGCTCTCCTTCACATTTTCTTACCTCAGGGCTCTGAAAAATCATCGACTTCTCTACCAATTCCATTCCCCTCTGGGGCTACATGAGAATTTAGTCATAACTGAAATAGAAGTTTCTATTACGAAAGGTCAGCATGTGTTAGCTTCTCGGCAAGAGATTAAATACAATGGGCCAGTAATTTCAAGTTTGAGGACAGGAGAGGCAAAGGGCCTATGTAGAAATTGTTTGTTTCTGAGTTGAGTGTCCCTCCTTGATAAGGGACCTGGCACCTGCAGGGTGGCAGTTATTGGAGCTTTGGGTCTGTGTAAAGATAGTGCCTTATCTTGGAAACAACTAAAAACAGAGGACATTCAGGATTTAGGATGCGCTGGCAATCTTCTAGAAGTGTCAACAGCCAATCAAACTTTGAAACTACATAATTCATTTTTATTTACAAGAGGATTCAAGGGTTGTGTGAGTCCCAAGAGCATTTAAATAAAGACTTTTTACAGCATTTATTTATTTACTTATTTTTTGATTCTGGGGATCAATTAAACCCAAGGCCTCTCTCAGGCTAGGAAAATGTTCTACCACTGAGCTACATCTCCACCCCCATCACAAAAATAATTTTAATTAACAGAGTTGTACATGGTAACAGTGAATTCAAGGAATTCCATAGAACCAAAGCATCACTAGAATAGGAACATCATTAGGTTACGCAGGGGAGACATCTTTTTTATATGAATTTAAAAAGACCAGAGAGCTGACAAGTTAGTATGTTAAGTGGTCTTCTTATAAAATTTTAAGAAAAATTTAGATCAGGCTGGGAAACTCCTTACCTAATCTGTCAGGAGAGGAGAGCAGAGAAAAACAAACACACACACATTAAGAATTGGAGTCGAGGTCATGTGTCCTGTTCCGGCTTTGCTGGATATGCAGCCAGGGCTGTGGTGTTATCACTCGCCACCCAGAACTGCAGGCGGAAAGTGGCAGGGCCCTGGCACCCTAACTTCGTGTTTGGCACTGTTTCCACCCACTTGTCTGTACAAGGTCACTCCTGGCCCTGGTCTTAGAGGCAGGCGGTCACTCACACCTTTCCAGTTTTGCTCTGGGAACCCCAACTCCCCTCCCCTTCTGAGTTCATTGCAATTCAGTGTGATTTCAAGGACAGCTGGGCAGGTGGAAGGGAACCTGGCCCTATGGGATCAGCACCATCCTCCCTCCCTCTCTCACAGGGCCAGGGAGGAGCAACAGAAGAGAGGCTGAGATAGAATGTGGCAACCGTGGAAGGACTGAGCACCACACTCAAGAGTTAAGATCTCGCAAAGTGTTAAAATTGCAGTGAGCTACTACCACTTGCCGTCCACCAGGATGGCTGGAATAAAAGAGACAGGTAATAAATGCTGGCAAGGAGATGGCAAGATTGCAAGCTTGTACACTGCCGGTGGAAATGTAACAGGGGCAGTGCTTTGGAAAGCCTAGGAGTTCCTCAGAAGTTGAGCATGGGATTATCCTGTGACCAGGAAATTATATATTTATATATATATATATATATATATATATATATATATATATATATATATATATATATAATCTCCAAGAGGAAACATTATGTTAAAGAGATAGAAGCGATTCACAAAAGACCATATACTGTATGACCCTGCAGTCATGAAATGTCTAGGACACGTAAATCTATAGCGACAGAAACTAAACTGGGGTTGCCTACGGTTGGGGGAATGTAGGCTGATAGCTAAGAGGGACAGGTTTTCTTTTGGGGAGTAACAAAAATGTTCTAAAATTAATTGTGATAGTAGTTACATAATTCTATGAAAAGGCTAAAAGTTATTACATTGTGCACTTTAAATGGACAGATTCTATAGCATGTGATTATATATTGATAGTTATTTTTTTAACCTTTTTTGGTTATCCCCAGTACTGGAGATGGAACCCAGACTTTGCACATGATAGGCAAGTGCTCTACCATTGAGCTGCGCCCCCAGCCCAGGTTTTGTTCTTGTTATTTAAAAAAAGGCACCATTCTCAAAATACTGATCCAGCAGAGACAGGCCTGACACCTTTCTGCCAGGTATGACTCTGGTGAGGCATTTGTGGGCCTCTTGGCTCTGTTTCCTATCTGATATGAGGGGGCTCCAGCGACAGAGGTCTTTCCCGCCTTAACATTCCAAGTTGCCAAGCCTTCCTTTATTTACTTGCCCCGCCTCTGAAAATATGGAGCACATCCTTGATGCAGTGAGAGCCAGGAGGTCTTTAAACAGAAGCACTGGACAAACACTTCCGGCTGTCCTTCAGAATTTTAGGTTAAGATATAAATATCCCGGAAAGGAAGAAAAGCTTAAGCATTTTTAGGTGACTTGGAACTTTCTGCAGAATGAGATGAACAAGTGTAGAATGAGGTGAAGCTAGATGAGGGACATCCTTTGTCCCTTTCTTGTTAGTACCTGACAAGAAAGGGACAAAGGATAACAGCTAGGGAAGGTACATTCTGACATGTACCACCTGCTTGACAGCTGAGCCTCCGGGCTTGCATCTCTGCCAACCTATTTGAAATTAGAAGGATCCTGCACACAGGGCCTTGCGGGCTTAATGAGGGTCCCCAGAAATGCTTAACATGAGCTCCATTTCCTGTGATCCAAGTTTCAGAAAATCCAATCAGCTACCCAGATGCCTTTTCTATCTTGAGAAGCACCCAAGGCACGCAGGCAAACCTGCTTCAGGCCCAGCTATTACCATGCTTCAGTCTTCCGTTTTTGTCACAGTGTCAACAAAGCCTTTTTTAGAAAGAAAGTGGGCTATTTCTTCAATATTATTTTATAACATAATAGTGATGGTGCAGCAAATTTGTAATGCCCAGAAAGTATGGAGAGGAAAAAACAATCATCCATTATTCTAAACTCAGGCTTTTTGCTCCTCTCAGCATCGGAACACATTTTCTTCTCGTTGTTTTTCTATGTGTGAATGAGGTTTTGCTGTGGCTTTTGACTTGCTTTAGACTTGACACATATTTTTTGTAAATCATTGTCAGCTGTAATTTCACTGAAATTGTTTGGCTGTAATTCTTCCACAGCTGGAAAAGAAGGGCCTGCTATCAATTCCAGAATCAATGACATCATAGACTAGAATTAGAAAGAACCCTGTGATCCTCACTTATTCTCACCCTGGTATTTAGGGTATTACATGTCGAACTTCGGCAACTCACAGGGAACCGATTTATAAAATGCAGTTCCCTCTGAGTTGATTAATGCCTCAGAAGACGCTTTTCAGGGCTGGGGATGTAGCTCAGTGGTACAGTGCGTGCTTAGCATGCATGAGACCCTGGGTTGAATCCCTGGCACCACACGGGCACCCACGCACACAAATGCTTTCCAGTTTCCAAAAATAGAAAGGAGAGAAATCTGTGCACCGCATACATTCTATGCTACTCAAAACAGAGCTCTTTACACTACTGTGTTACCATTTGCAGAAAGTGGACTTGCTAGGGAATCGACCACAACTCTGATCTATGATCACATTGCTGTGTGATAGCGAAGGCTCCCTTTGACGTTCTGGGAAAGGTGGTCAGGTGTGTGACTTCCCCATCCCGAGTTCTACAGCTGGCAGGATTTTCATGGAGATTTCCACCCCTGACTGCTTAGGGTATGGACTGCTGTGCTAGCAGGAAATTAACTCTGAGACCCGTCTGGACAAACTCTTTAGAGGAAACAGCCTGCAGTCTTTGACACAACAGGAATGGACATGACACAAACACAGACAGAAGGAAGGAAATTTACAGGCTTGCTAGATACCAAGCATGAAGCAACAGGGGAACTCTAGGTCTAGCTTAGCTGTAGTTCACTAGATGAAAAATTTTTTTCATACATTCAGAATTTGTGTGCTAAAGCTAATTACACAAGTGATTCTGTTCTCCTTCTGTACTCAGTAAGGATTTATAAATCCAGAGCCTGACTTTCCATCTCATATTCTTGTTCAGAAAATAAACTGGAGAATGAGAACACAAAGGGGACTCTGAGGATTTTAGACTCATGGCTTTGATGGCTTGGAGACCTCTGAAGGTTCCCAAGCGAGGAACTGGTCATGTCACTGAAGCTTTGGCCTTCATGGGGGCTGTTCTATGGGACGAGGGGGGACAGTGAGGGAGCCTAGATGACCAGTCACGTGGACATGCCACTTGCCTTGGCTCTGTCACATATGACCTCAGTTAATCTTCCCCATGTCACTCTGTGGGCTAAAAAATGATCATCTCATTTTACTGAAGTAGGAAGGGAGCTTAGTTGGAGCCAAGGTGATAATTACAAATTTGGGATTGGAAAAGGGTCTTGGGCCATCACTCCAGAGAACATCAGAGGAATAAAAGATCCCATTTCGGTCAACCTGAGCCTGGTCTTTCTGGAGGAAATGCTTGCTCTGTGCCTGGATCCTTTTATAATGTTTATCCAAAATCAAGAAAATGCTTCCCATCACTTCTAATTTTCCCGAAGGTAAAAATTATTCCTTTTATAAGCAATTTCTCTCTAACGAGAAACAGAAATAACCCCAAGCTTATAATCCTTATTTTCTCCCTGTTTTGCCTCACCACAAAATGTAAGGCAATCAACCAGTTTTCTGAGCTTAGGATAAACAAGTACAGTTGTGCACCGTGTAAGGACTTTTCCATCCATGACGGCCCCCTAAATGACGGGGTGCAGCAAGTACATGCTGGGGTGCCCACACAACACCGGACTCACCTAGTGGCACGTTTCCTCAGAACACATCCCCAGCATTAAGTGACACATGCTGTACATTTGATTAAAAATAAGACCAAATGGGGAAGAACTTCCCTTTTTGCGGGGGCTGGGGGACTTGCCTCTGTGCTGAAGGAGCCCTGCTTCTGGCCTGAATGGCCAAGTGTGGGACAGGTGTGAGGCAGGAAGTGGATTAACTGCGCCCAACCTACCGCTCATCAAGGACACCGAGAGCACACCCATCAGGGCCCAGCTCAGGCCACCCCTGGGAGCTCGGCTTGGACAGGCGAGCCTCTCATGCCACAGGTAGGACACATCGTCCCGTCTGCTGTCACACCCCACAGTTAAACACCAAAGGCCATGAGGGCCCCGCTCCTACTGGCCTGGGACAGCCTCTCAGGGAACTAGTGCCAGCTAGGTTTTGGGTTCCCAGTGGACAGCTGCCATATCTGCACCTGTTGGTACCCATGCTGCAGAACACTTTTCCAGATGTTTCAGCCCCTCATTCCTAAAACAGAAACCATCACAACCTCTCCTTCCCTTTTGCGAACTTTGTTTCAAAGACATTATCTCATAGAACTTTAAAACAGCCTCAGTGTTATGAAGGGCGTGGGGGGTGCTGCTCAGTGGTAAAGCACATGCTTAGCCTGTGTGAGGCCTGAGCACCCCCTCACCCCCTGCAAAGTCCTGAGGTCCACAGCAAAGGGCCAGACATAACTGACATGAAGAGGAAGAAAGGAAGTACTGTAAATATTCACTGTACAGAGGCTGCGCTGGTCACTTCAGCAATCACTGCCCCATTTAAAAGGCTCTGATGATGCTGTGGATGGCTCTTATCATCCTATCTTACAGAGAAGGAAACCAAGGCTCTTAAAGTCCAGGTCATGGAGCCACGTGGATCTTGAAATGGGTCGAATGTTAAAGAATTAGGAAGACACAGTAAAGGGAAGCAGTCACTTAATGGTACTAAGTTGGAATACAATGTATAAGTATTAACCTGAGTCCTAAGATACATAGATTGCCCTCAGGTGGTGATTCTCCACCCCCAAAAAGAATTTTTTTTTTTTCTGTTCACTTCTAGCTCGACAGATTTATAAATATTATCATCTGCTCTTTCAATCTAACAAATCCTAATTATTCCCAGTCTTAAATACCAGAAATGTATTAAACAGTGTTAAATCCTGAGAATTTAGTTAAATCCGAAATCCTAGCATTATTACCCAAGTCAGAGAGCTCTTTGTAATGTACTAAATGTCTTTCTCCTAGTCACACACACACACACCAAGTCAAAACCTGCCTCTAATTATTACACCTACTCTGTAATGAATGAACGCAAACAGTGGGGGTAAACACCTTTGAACATCAGGCACGCAAAATCTCCTACGTGTTACCTTACATGCCTCGGCCCATTTGCTAACACAGGTCCCAGATGAAAGGTGCTTCCTTTGGGCTGCAGTGATAGGCCCCACACTCCTCTTGCAGGACGCACAGCCTCACGCAATTTGAATCTGCAGCCATTAAGATGAAACTTCAAGGTAAACACCACTAAGACTTAGGAAGTCTACGGGGTGTTCAGGTTTTCAGTCTAGGTAGAAAACACAGCTTAGGAAAGAAGATTGCCCATGAGCTGGGGGCTTTGGTCTCACGGTTAGATCTCACCTGTTGGGTTTGCAGGAATATCCAGGAGGGTCTTCAACAGCTTCATATCTTTAATGTTGTGTATATAAATGGACTCCTCCAGACACACCAGCAGCCTCTGTAATCACACAGACCCATCAATCTCCCACACCAGTTCCTTGTAAAAGGCCCCCAAATCCACATCAAATGCTTCTCCTCCTTATGAGTCCTAACTTGAGTCTATGCGTAAAGGAGAAAGAATTTTGATGATGCCTTTTGAAGATTATGTTTATGTATTTACATGCACATGCGCACGCACGCGCGCACACACACACACACACACACACACACCATTATCCATTGGAACAGAAACTTAAACTATAAGATCCTAAGAAATTTTATTTAGAAACTGGGTTTTCTCCTTCCATCCTTTGGTATTTCCCTTTAGAACGGGGATATCTGTACACTTGAGTAAAATCCTTTTTTCACTTAAGACAATTTTGGGTAACCACCTCCATTCTTGTCCCCACTTGACAGGATGACTTTCAATAATGGTAACAAAGTTCTCCCTCTTACACAAACGAGGATTTCTTTGCGCTTTCTGTATAGCCAAAATCTCACCCCTCTGCAAATTCATGTGGAATATCCCGAATGCAAAAAATTTGAATGTGCCAGTAAAGTTTGACCTCTAGTGCTAGAGACTTTCAGATTTAGGGGCATTTTAGATTTTGGATTTTCAGATTAGGGATGAACAACCAGCAAAGCCTATGCCCATATTTCAAAATCTGAATAACTCTGAAACACTTCTGGTCCCAAGCATTTTGGATAAGGGATGCTCGACCTCTAATTACCAGCTCTGCCTCCTTTCCACTTAAACTCTCCTCTTGAACCACCTCTGGGCCATTCCCTGAGCCCTGGTAAAGGGAACTGATGAATGAATCCCTAGGCCCTCACCTTGAGGGCCCCTCCTGAGCCCCAACCCCAGGGCTCCCCTGGGCTCAGCCCCACCCTCAGGCACTCTCCATTCCTTTCCTCTTCAGATGCTAGCTGGTCAGGTTCAGCATCTCTTCCCAACCATGGTGCTCTGCTTTGGGGAATGTGATGTGATCTGGGTGCAGGTGCAGGTGTTGGGGCTGGGGAGGGGGTGCAGAGAAGGCAGCTTCCCTGATCGGAGCAGCTGCCTCTGCCCCGCACAGGCCTGACTTGGCTCCCCAGGCTGGAGCTTCTCAGGCTTGGTTGGGGACCAGAATCCCTCAAGGAGCGAGCCCTGGACTCTCCCCTGGAGGTTCCAGTTTGGGGCATCTCTAAAGGAGTACCCCAGGTGATTATGAGGCTCAGCCAGTTTTGAGAACCACTGTTCTCAGCCAGTTCCTTTGATTCCAAGAACATCAGTTACCTAAAAATACTGCAGAAATGTGGCAGGCTCTCCTCCCAGGAAGCCTCTTCACAGCTCAGAAAAATGGAGACTGTTGACTTTAACCAGGCAGAAAAATAAAGTTCAAACATTTTTTCTATTTTAATTAAGACCTCAGACTGAGTGCTGAGAGGTAAAAATACCTTTAACAGGGTCTCAACACTGATGACAAATATTAGTATTTCTCCGTGAATATTTAGTCTCTGATTTACCCAATGTCTTTGCCGGTCACCAGCCTAGGCCCTGGAGTGCCTGATATTACTCTATGGCTGTTTAGGTCCTGAGGTTCCTACTGTCTTCCTCCAGCTCCGCCTAGCCCCGCAGGGGTCCCCAGGACAGCAGGGCCCAACAGCACCCTGCTGGCAGCCCCTCCCACGAGCTCCAACAGCACCATCTGCTCTGTGTCCCACTCAGCTGAATTTCAGGTCACCCCCACGCTGGCTGCAGACAAGAATAAAAAGGGAGAGAAGCACACAGAAGCGCGGGAGGAGGAGGCGCTTAGCTGCGCGAGAGCAACTGAGGTTGAACCCAGCCTGGTAACTGTATTCTTAACCATCTCAACCAGAACTCGGCCAGTCTCAGCAGAACCAGGGCCTTGTTTCAGCTCGGCCCATTACTCTAACTTCCATCTACTTTTTTACATTTTATATATAATCACTCCTATTTATTTATTTATTTTGTTATCAGGGATTCAACTTGGGCACTTGACCACTGAGCCACACCCCCAGCCCTATTTTATATTTTATTTAGAGACAGGGTCTCACAGAGTTGCTTAGGGTCTCACTTTTGTTGAGGCTGCTTTGAACTCTTGATCCTCCTGTCTCGGCCTCCTGAGTGACTGGGATTACAGGTGTGCACCACCACATCAAAAAGAACTCCTTTTTATAAATTAAGAAAAGTTTACAGAATTTACCTTTGAGCACCAGAGACTTAGCCTCAAAGGCTTCGGTCTGATCAATCTGTAGTTGAATAGCAGGGAGCAGATGGTCAAGGAATTGCAAAAGTTTGTGTTTCTAAATATATCTTGTTTATTGTCTTTATTCTGTAAATACATTTTCCAGTTAAATACAAGGGGAAATAATACCAACTAAAAATGAAACACAATTCCTAAGTATTTTTTTCTTTCTTTATATTTAGAGGAAAATGGGGATTTTATTTCCTTATAACTCCTATGCACATCTGTAATTTCCCCTGGTGTTGTAGGACTGTGTGCCTGAAGATGCCGGAGTGGGCTGACTACTGCAGGACAGACACACCAACTTCCCCCTTTTCATTTCGCTTGGGTGGTATCTCTGCAGGTGCCCCCCCCCCCCCGCCCCCGCCGCCCAACCTGGCAAGAAGAGGCTACAGCCCTGAACTGCCCAAGCCAAAGTTAAGTTCCAAATCTGGACGTTTTAAGAAATGCAAACCTTAAACACTTTCCAGATCTGCTTCAGCTAATTTCCTTAGGAGAAGAAATGCTCAAGGAAGGATGACCGGTAGGTCTGGCTGTCCTTGAGCCTCGTGCTGGGCGCTTTCCTGTTCCCCAGATGATGGGGGTAAGAGCCTGAAGTTGACAAGTACTTTACTGAGCAGAGGCTGGTGCCTAAAGGTTGACAGACACTTGAACAATCCTTCCTTGTCCCGTTTGCTAATGAAAATACCAGGGAGGAAGAGAGAAATCATACAAGTAAATACAAGACATACTATTTGAAGGTTCTGATCTTTATAGAACATTTGACTAAGCAGTCTCAAAAAGATAGTTAGGTGCAAAAAAAGAAAAAAGAAAAAGCCACTACTTTTAAATACTGGCCACTACTCTGTGCAAAAGTAAAAATTTTGCAATAAAACTTAACATGCTACTAACAGATCTAAGAGAAAGCACTGGAGCCAAGAATTCTGCTTCAAAGCCTTCAAGTAGAAAACTTACAAATTTCCTTTCCCTCCCTTGTTGAGGCCTGCACTTCTTTTCTTCTTCACATCTGCTACTCTTCCCTGAAAAGCCCACATCTTCCATTTCTCAGGCCATCTTTACCACCCTGCTTCCTATAGACTTCAGTGGAAGGATAATCAGTCACAATAGCTGGTTGACTCAAAGCCACAATCTCTTCCTTCTCAGAAACTCAGGAAAGCACCTCATTTGTCTCATTGTTAAAAAAAAAAAATTAATCAGCACTTAATAGTTTAGATGCAAAGAATGAAAAAACATTGTCCTCAATGAATGCCACCATCTCCCTTTTCCTGGGTACTTCATTGAACACAGCTCTGAAAGCTTACACAAAGGGTCTCTTTATTTATTTATTTAATAGTCATTCAGGAAACAGATACTTAGGAACCCTTTTCTTCCAAGTCTTTCAGCAGTGAATTAAAATACCATGGGCCCCTCATAGGATATAAAGTCAGTAATTCCAAGGAAAATTTATTAATATCCCAATTAACAAGAATTGATATTTTAAAGGGGATATAGTACATATTTGAGATAAGAATAATCCGACCTTCAACAAAGAAAACACTAAAAGAAAATATCTTTAAGGGTTAGCTGGAGAAGGGAAAATGGGAACAAAACTGGCCCACCAGGAAAGCCCATGCAGATGGCCAAGGAGGGGGATCACATTGACTGGCTGCAGCGCTAACCCAGGAGGACCATGCTTCACACAGACATCTCGTCTTCAGAGGCTTGGCTACCATCTGCAATGAATGCCACTATCTAGGGCCAAGACCAGAAGAGTCATTCCTCTGGCTTAAGGTGTCCCTGTGGCTGCTCATTAGACAGACCCGAGCCAGAGTTCTGACCCATCCTTACTGGTGTCCAGCCTGCACCCAGGGGAAGGTGCACCTAGCCAGCCAGTGGCCAACACTGGCTGAGAGAGAACAGGAGCCAATAAAGACAAGGGAAGACGCATCACTAAAACCAGCACATGGAGTAGGCACTCTTCACGCTGCCCACTATGACACCAGGCTGCGTGTTAAAACCCTCTTTAGTGGTGTGTGTTTCAAAGACAGTCCTCTTTGAAGATGTTCAACATTTCTTTGGCTCCAGTGAGCAGAAGCCTCAAAAGCCTGAGGAATTTATGGCCTCCTTACCTGCCGGTTCAGTTTTATGGACAAGATGTTGCTGGAGTAGCTGTAATTACAGATCTCTGTGCCCTTCTTGAAGTGATACACATTCATCTGCCGGGGTTTCGTGTGACTGACCACCACCACCAGGCTGCTGGAGAAGAGGCGCTCCACAATGTACACGTCAGGGATTTCATCTGGGAGGGAAAGCAGTGGCAAGGCCTCAGGATGGCTCGCTACCCTGGGCACAGTGTATGCAGGGTCACTAATGGGCTCGAGGTCTTGCTGACTGGGTGCCCTCGGTCAGCACATACTTACAGTGACCCACCTCCCCCAAGGGAGTTTTAACCATGTCCCAAGGCAGCGCTTCTAGTCCTTTCCTTAAATATCTACAGCAAAGAAGACACTAGTGACTGGGTCACAAACTCAGGATCTCCAGAGCTACTTCGGGTGTGGTGTGCACAGTGGTATCACCTCTCCAGGCCCAAGGGCTCCACTGTTTGCTCCATAAAGTACATTTGGGAGGTTGGGACAATCTCAATCTATCCTTGCCCTGTGAAGGTTTTGAAGGAGTGATTACCTGGAAGTCCCTATATTCAGAGTTCTTCTTGTCCTGCTAGAGGGATACCACTCTTGGGAGCTGGGACAGTAACACAGTTAATTCTGTACCCTCTCCCCATTGTGCTGTGCTGTCCCTCCCTCTCTAGAATCCCTAGCCTATTGAAAAACACCTGGAAATGAGTATTATGATCAGGAAAGTACTACTGTTCTCAAGAGTAAGGTAGGTCAGTAAGCCTTCTGAGCACCTATAGGTAAGGTGTCGGTGTCTTTCTGAGACCACCTGGTCACATGTGTGCCTTGCTTGCGCTTGGGCAAGTCCCATAGGGAACAATATGAGGTGCATACAGAGCGAAATATTCACAAAAATGGTTTGTTAAAAATAACTTCTTAGAAATAAATTAGGAACTCAAAATATCATTTACTAAATCATTTTTTTCCCAGGAAACTGAAAGGCTGTGTATTCTTCACTATCATGATGGTATTCAGAATTACCCAGAGAAGACCAGAGAGTCATATCAATAAGCTGCATTATTTTTAATATTCACTAGAAATAATTCAGCATCTAATATGGGCCATATAAATAGGAGAGCGTTGCTTTATTGAAGCAAATGAAATTCCACCCTGATTGAATGGGATCAACATTCTGCAGTGCCAATAAAATGTCAGGAAAGAAGTCACAAGTGACCTTTTGGTTTGACAATTAAAAAAATGGATGACTGTGCATACAAGTATATGGAAAAGTGTCAGCAATTTGATTTCAAATGAAGGATCTCTTAATCAAGAAAGCAAATGTTACTTAAGCTAGTGCCAAATTTTAATAAGAGCTTCCTCGGGCTTTTTTTTTTTTTTAAAGCAAGTGGATGCAGGCCTGCAAAATACTGACTCCTTAAGTTTGATGATTAAAGGAGTGAAAATCAGAAGGCTGAAGATTAAAGTCTAGAGAGAGGATTTGGTGTCCCTGAGATCATTCTCTCTCTTCCCCTCCCCCCACCGCTCTCTCACACACACTTACTGCTTCCATGGACTTGGTCCAGTTGCTCCACAGAACTCAAAGAAAACAGCTTGTAGCCAGCTTTGGTTCCAATTGCTAGGGATCTGGGGAAGATAATGACAGCGTGGGAATTACAACAGATACTGTATTCCAACCACAGATCCATCTGAAAAATAGATACCCCTTTCTCCCTAGGCTCAGAAGATGCAGGTAAACATCCATCTTCAGGGGCTCAGATCCTCTGTAACTTTCTAAATGGCAAAACACACTGTGGCAGGCAGTCAGGTACAGTAAAAGGAAAAAAAGATCAAAAGCCATATGTGTGTGTGTGTGTGTGTGTATGTGTATGTGTGTGTATATATATCACTAGATTCTGCATCTATATGTGTATATATATTATATATGATATATATGTGTATGTATAATATATATAAATGGTGTAGAGATAGAAACTGCCTGGGCTTTGTCATCGAAGTATGGAACTTATCAGAGATGACATTTGCCCAGCTTGGCAGGTACAGGAGAGATGGAATGTTTAAGACTATTCATAATAGCTCCCCTTGCAACACATTTAAGGGGTCTTCTTGTTGTTTGAGACACACTTTACAAAGAGGTACATTATTTTTTAATGACATTTTTGTTTTTGCATTTTAAAAAGAAACATATGTGCCTAGTAGAGTAGCTCATTGGTAGGTAAAATTGTATAGATGCCTCCTTTTATCAGTTGCCAAGAAAATATCCCTGATAAAGTATATAAAGTACTTTATAAACTTATAAACTCAATTGGGGAGCTTAACTGAATTTTATTTTTTTAAGTTCAAGTACTCATGTGCAGCCAGGGTTGAGAACTCTCCTTTGTGCTATGTACTATAAAGCTATTATTATAACTAACAAATAAAATAAAAACTAAATACCTATCTAGTTCAATGTGGGCTTAAAAAAAAGAAAAGAAAGAAAAATCTAGTTTTCTTAATTTTCTACTTTTCAACTGGTGGATGAAAGCAAGGTGTGATTTCAGATTTTCTTGTTCTCATGACAAGAGCAAAACAGGTTAACTTTGTCCAGCTCCTGGGAATCCCCACCCAGCCCTCTCCCTCTGTGCTCTCAGCATTGCATGGATGACCAGACACTTGCACAGAACAAACTCAGAATAAGCAGCCTGACCCTGGACACTTCCGCCCTCAGAAGGTGGGATGTCAGAATTGAAATGGACCTTAAAATAGTTTAGTCCAACTCCTTCATTTTCAAACAAATATATGCAACGGTGAGATTCGTCCTTCCCAGGGACACAAACATTAAAATAAGACACGTACAAGCCTGGGTGCCAAGGCTCTGGTTTCACCATCTTAAAAAAGAGGTCACATGATTTTTCCCTGGAATTTTTTTTCCCCCTATCCAAACATTAGCTCTTTCCTGAGACACAGGGACAGGTGATTACAGTCAACTTTTGATCAACAAGGTAGCTGGTTCTTTCCTGTAGCCCTCCCCATCACCGACCTGTTGAGTAGCTAAAATGGTATCTAAATATTTGCATGACAGCAGTAGTACAGTTAGAAGTGGAGACTGGTGTCCAGAACCGCAGACAAACAGAACTGTAAAAAAATGAGGAGCCAGGTGCAGTGACACTCCCCTGTAGTTCCAGTGCTCAGAAGGCTGCAGGTAGAAGGATCGAAAGTTTGAAGCCAGTTTCTGCAACTTAGGGATACCCTGTCTCAAAATAAAAAATTTAAAAGGGGGAGATGGAGCTCAGGGCTAAAGTGTGCCTGGATTCTATCTCCAGTACCAAAAAAAGCAAGCAAGTGAAGAATATCTTAGAACTTGAAAATATATTCTCTAAAGATTACTAAATTTTCTTCACTTAAGTTTTTGCACCTACATATAGACACATTTAGTTGCAAGCTAAGGTTTGTAAAGATTGTAAAGAAAAATAAAATACTGTAACTAGAGTCTTATAAAATAATAATTAATTAAATTAATTAAAAGATTTATTTATTTATTTATTTATTGGTGGTGCTGGGGATTGAATCCAGAGCCTTATGCATGCAAGGCAAGCATTCTACCAACTAAGCTTTACCCCCCAGCCCAAGATTTAGTGACTTTTAAAGTAATTTTCAAAATGTAAGCCCTGATCCTGGAACTGAAGAATTTTGGTTTGTTTTGGTTTTTGAGACAGGGTCTTGCCATATTGCCCGTGCTGGTCTCAAACTTGTCAGCTCTAATGATCCTCTCACTTCAGTCTCTGGAGTGGCTGGGACTACAAGCATGTAATACTGTGTCTGGCTCAGAATAATTTTATACATAAGAAAATGTCAGAGTGATCACTATTATGTTTTAATGTCTACTGAGACTCGGAATCAAGAAATTCAGACTTAGACCTTATTTATCCATAAGACCTTCTAATAGAAACAAAATTCTTTTTTCCCCAATATTGAAAAATTGATATTTGACAACTTCTGAATTAATGTAAATGACAATGACTTTCATATATAGTAATTCAAAATATTTTCACTAAGCACCAAGTTGAACAGAGAAACAAAATTCTAATCACTGTTCATAGGAATGGAGTTTGGGGCAAATACATATCACTAATCAAATTTAAAAATATATCTGAGGTATATAACATAGTGCCAAGCACAAAGTTGGAACATAGGACACTGGTAAGGATTGGTTCTCTGTACCCAGCTTTTCTAGACATACTGGACTCCAAACTCAGCCTATATTTATAGAAAAAGACACATTGACATCTCTGAATACATTCAGTAAGGGGCTTGACTTATTTTAAAATCCAATGTCATACCTTCCGTGGCTCAAATTGACTGTGTGACAAGGACTTTTATTTATAGGTGAGTCAGAGATGCCCAGCAGAGTCTTCATCCAAGAAAAGACGACTGACAGTAGGAACTAAGGAAGTTAATTTTCAAAGCACCCTACAGTTTTGAAAATAACATTCAGATCCAATTGCTATAGAAAGCTGGAACTGACTCTAGAATTATTTAATAACTTCAGCAAAGAACTGAATATATTTTTTCAAATCTAATAATATCACAATGCAGAATTTGGAATATTTACTACTTAGAAGTAAACTAACTGCTTTCCTTAACCTGTGTTTAATTGAGAAGAAAAACATCACCCAGGCATTTCAACAGACACACTCTCTTGCAAAATATTTCTTACAAAACTTAAGAATTTTATCTGTTCTATCATGTGGGTTTCAACCCATGTGCAGATCTTAAAAACAGTTCAGTAGATTGCAAGCAGCTTAAAAAAAAAGACATGAAAAATACCAGAGGTATTGCACATAATATTTGCAAATATTTTACTATATGGGTATTGGGAGATGTTCTAATATGTGATTTTTATTGTGGGTTGTGGTCAAAAAAAAGCTTGAAAGCCATTCATCTAACCAAGCTGTCAAGTTACTTGATTACACATACAGTTTTTTTTCAAACAAAGGCATATTGTTCAGTACAGGGTATTTTTAAACAAACACAAAGGGAAAGGCAACCAGGGCTGCTTATGGTACTCGATGGCCTTAATTACACCACTGAATGTTCAATATTAGCATAGCTCAGCTAGTCCCCTGACTCCAGACAAGGAACACAACAGAAACTGGTACAGCAGGAAGTGGGAAACAGGGAAGTGGCCATCCCTGCCTGATCTGCCTGATGCTCTGGGTGCACATTCCAAAGAGATTATTCCATATGGTCCCCAGGACTGCTGCCAGGAAAAGAAGGAAAGAAACAGGCCTTTGCTTCTAAGACAACCCTGCATATGCCTGAAGCGCAGTTCAGTAATCCCCAGTTCTGTGACCAAAGTCCAAAAGTGAACACCAAAGTGAAACATTAAAAATCTACTCCAAAGCAACAGGCTGGAGCTCCAGCTTCCGGGAGAGAAAGCAGTCAGGGCCCAGGAAAGGGCCCCTGGACTCCCAGAGGGGATTCTGCGTGGCTGCCTGGGCAATGGGAAAACAATCAGAGAAATGAAAAGGTTTCTTACATCTAAAGTGGCCAGGAAAGATGCTCTGCTCTGGGGCTGGCCTGGCCGCAGGGATAGGCTGCCTCTTAGTACGAGGCCCTGCCCAGATGCCACGTTGAGATGCTCAAGGACAAATGGGAAAGTTTTTCCTGTACTCCCATCTTCCTGGGCCCTAACTACATCGTTTCGGGTTAACTTGCGACTTTCCCCTCTACTTCCATCTCCTTTGTTTTGGATACTGCCCCTCCTTCTCAGAACCCCACACTTAGGTCACTAGCTTTCCCACCGCCCTGTCCTCCTCACCCCCCATATCCCGAGGCCTCCTCAGCTCCACTCCCTTTGCTCACTTCCTCCCTTCATCCCGTCCAGCCTCTCGGCAGGCGGGGGTGTCGCAGTGGATCAAACCCCACCGAGGGAGTAGGCCAACAAGACCCCGACCCCTGCGATGCCACAGCTGGCTGTCCTGCCGAGGCCCTCTGGCTGGCAAGCCCGCGCCTCTCTCGCCACCGGTGGCGTTCTGGACACCACCCTTAGGTCGCTCGCTGCGTTCAGTTTCCCACTTCCCCGGCAGGGGCTGGCGCCGCAGCTTACGTGCAGTCTTGGTTGAAAGAGAAGCAGCTGAGCGCCGCCTCGACCCCGCCTGGGGGCACGTCCATGGCCTCGGCCTCCATCGGGGGCTCGACCCGGGAAGCCGTAGCTCGGAGCCGGCGACAGCCACCTCAGCAGCCCGCCCGCGGCGGCTCCCGGGAGCCGGGGCGCTGGTCACGCCCACCCACAGCCCCGCCCTCGAGTCGCCCCGCCCACTGGTCTGGCGGAACCGAGCAGCTGACTGGGCGGGGCTCTTCCGTCAGCCACCATTGGCCATGAGCCCAGGCCGCGGCGGGCGAGCTCCGCCCCCTTGACCAATCCGTGGCGACTGTGGGCGGAACCGTTCTTCTAAAGACCCGCCCCCGGATCGGCGACTGGGCTCTCCATTGGTCGAATGTGCGTGAAGCCGAGGCAGCAGGCCACGTGGTAGTGTTTTCATTGCCAGAGCCACCTAGTCGAGAGCGAGGAGCCAAGAACTAGCGCAGCTGTGGCTGGACCTGCTGGCTGCGGTCTGGCGTCTGCGTCAGAGAGCCGCGAGGAGACAGGCGGACGCGCTGCTTCCCACCCCACCCAAGCCCCGGTCATGTGTAACCCTTTGCCTATTAAACTTACGGAATTTAGTAGACAGGGTTAGACGCCAAAGCCCCACCCTTTTGCAGAGTCCTTACACTGCTTTGAGAAAAGTTCCCCAAACAGAACTGCTAGGCTAGGCAGATAGGAAATTATCTATTGGGCAGTTGAGAAATCTTACTAATGCCAGGCACTGCGTTAACTATGTATGTTATCTTGTTGAGTTCTTATGGAACCCTGTGTAAAAAGTATAATTGTACCCAATTTATAGAAGAAGCTATTGAAGCCCTGAGTGGCAAAACAATTCATCTAAAGTGACAATAGATGATAGAATGTGTAGTTTTCTTTCAAGATCTGTGCGCCAAATGACTTTGCTAACAAGAGCTGATTTGTAGCTGCAAAAATGAAAGTATCCTAAGATGGAGTAGTTTGGGAAAGGGATAAAGTCTCCAAGAGGTAGCACAATTAGAAACTCTTGTAATTCGAGATGAATTCTGACAAAGGATTTTTCTCCCCCAGGCTAAATGTGTGTTGCACCTGTATGGAATTACTCTTAAAACATTTTGCGAATTGGAAGTTCTGCCAGCCTTGGATTTATAATTAGTGGCCAATTTTTAATTCATGTCTTCAAATTTTAAGATGGAATGATTCTAATTATTGTTAAATCGCAAAGTTTTAGATTGGTGTAGTTCAGATTTACCCAAATTATGACAAAATTATATATATTCTTAGAATGGATGAGCAAAGAGCACTATATCACATAAGTGTTTCTGGTTAGATTTCTGGTTTGAGTTTTCTGAGATGCAAATGTAATCGTTTCTTTTCTCAATTGATATGTAAAAACGAAGTTCTCTTGGGGCTAAGGTTGTGGCTCAGTGGTAGAGCGTTTGCCTTGGGTGTGTGAGGCACTGGGTTCAATCCTCAGCACCACATAAAAATAAATAAACAAAATAAAGGTATTCTGTCCATCTACAACTAAAAATATGTTTAAAAAACAAACAACAATGTTCTCTGAAGATGCACAGATGTGATTGCTCCTTTTCCAGTTGTGAAGTATTATATAGAACATTGTAAGTGAAAAGAACTGCTGTTTGGATCTTTGTAGTTTTTAAGATCAAAGGTGCTTCTATGCCCTTCTCCCAGCTCAGCCAAATACTGCAGTCCTTTCTGTTCTATTTAGAAAACTGAGTCTGGCATGCTAGGTGCTAGGTTGTTGGGAGAATTACATAAAGTACATAAGGTTTTAAAAGGGAAGCTATAATCAGTTTGTTATTAAGAGTTTGGAATTTATGGGGGTAGAGACGAAAGCTTCTGTTAGTTTTTGAGCAGAAGTGCTTCATGATAAAAGTGGTGTCTTAGGAAGATAGAGATCGCCAGGGTGTGCAGAACAGATTAGAAGGGGAAGAATGCCTAGGAGTTTTTAGAGGACTGATGCAACACTCTGGGAATGAAAGTACTTGAGAGGCTAATGTGATGATAGTGAGGCCAGAAGGTTCAGAAAATTTTAAGAGATGTTTTGAGGCAATGCTGTCCAACGGAAAGACAATATAGGCCGCACATCTGGGCTCCATAAGTAATTTTACATTTTCTTGAAGATACATTTAAAATGGTAAAAAAATAAGTGGACAAATCAATTCAATACTACATTTTTTTTAGCCCAATATGATGAAAATGTCATTTTGTCACCAGAGAGGGTCTGAGGAAGTCTTGGAGACAGGAATCTCAACTCAGGATGACAGGGTCCTTGACAGGGTCCTTTGTGTGTGACGGAGAAGAATTTTAGCCTGCATCAGATATTGAGGCACATGGTTTATCTAGGAAATCAAGAAATACACAGTTCAAGGGACAATGAGGGACCTCTTGAGACTGTGAGATGCTTTCGAGGTTCTTAGGTTGTTCTTCTAAAGGAAACTGGGTGAGGAGTGGGCATGGCAAGGTATGTGGGGATGATATCAGCCTGATCGCAGGATGGTTTATGGTGGTCTGTTGGTTCCCAGGATGCTTAAGTTGATGTCTTCTCCATTTGCTGGTCAATTGATCATGTTGGGAGAGTACCGTATATCATAGGTTTCTAGGAAAGTACTAAAAAAAAGTTTCTAGGAAAGAGGAGCAACTTTAGCAGCTTTCTGGTTAAAGGTATAGTCTCTTCTTCCTTTTCTCTTTCTTTTTGTCTCTTCCCCCTATTCTTTCCTACCTCTATTTCAATAAGCAATCAACATAAAATTATTAACGAGTTAGATTTTTCTTTTTCTTTTTTTTTTTAGAACTAGTGTTTAAAAATCTAGTATGTATTTTTCACTTATAGCATAGCTCAGTTTATGCTAGCTACATTTTAAGTGCTTTTGTGGCTGGTGGTTACCTTTTTACTTAGGTTTTTTTCTTTTAATGGTCCTGGAGATTAAACCCAGGGCCTCCAGCATACTATAGCAAGTGCTCTATTACTCAGCTATGCCCCCAACACTTTTTATTTTTTATCTTGAGATAGGGTTTTGCCGAGTTGCCCAGGCTGGCCTCAAACTTGCAAACCCCCTGCCTCAGCCTCCCAATTTGCTGGTTTTACAGGTGTGCGTCACTGTCCCCTCTTAGTGGGGTTTTGAAGGAATAGACAGCAGGACATGGTGGCTGATGGGGAAGATGAATAGCAGGGAACAAAAGAGAAGAATTCAAACTGATTTCATGGTTGGGAAAGAAGCCTATTGTGCTGATTTTAGAAACCCAGATCTTTGGGCAGTTTTTTTTGTTTTAAGGAAGATGTGTTTAGGTTCAGCGTGGTATACAGTAGCAACAAAACTGAATTTTCACTGGAGTTAAGGTTCAGGCCTAGAAATACAGGCATGGGAGAAAACTGGTCACCTTCCCAGTCCCGCCCTTCCTGTGAATAAGCCCCGCCCTTCCTGTGAATAAGCCCCGCCCTTCCTGTGAATAAGCCCCGCCCTTCCTGTGAATAAGCCCTCCTTGTGTGTTGCCTGTTGGGTGAATGTTCCACGTCCACCACCCTTAGAAATAACGCCTCAGGGCTGCCCTGGCTGGTTTTATTTTTCCTAAGACAACATATGAGTCTGTATTTTAATATAAACCTTTATTTATAGAAATCTGTGCATTTTATATAAACATATATTTTTATGTAAGTCTTTAAAATGTTGACGACTAATTCCTACTTTCCAAAAACACCATGTGGGCCAAACTAAATATGTCAGCTGGCTGGGTGTGGCTCGTGGGCAGTCAGTCACCTGTGTTAGAGCTGCCAGTTCAAAGAGCTGTATCTTAAAAAAAATAAAATAATCCAAGAAGTCTGTTTGTATAAAAAGCCAAGGAAAAGGTAATAAATAAATTCAGAGGTGCTGAATTCATTGTCAGGCTTTTCTCTTAGTTCTAGTTCTAGGCTCTATGGGAGAGGACACTCCTAATCTGAGTGTTGGGCTTATGACATCTTTATGCTTAAGACAGCAATTTCACTGCAAAATAACAATAGCTAAGGCTATTGGAAGCCAGACATGGTGATACATGGCTGTTTCTCAGTGACCTGAGAGGCTGAGGCAAGAGGATGGCAAGTTTGAGGCCAGCCTCAGCAACCTAATGAGGATATAAACAACTTAGTGAGATCCTGTCTCAAAATTAAAAATAAAATGGGCTGGGGATGTGGCTTAGTTGTAAGGCACTCCTAGGTTCAATCCTCACAACCACCCCCTCTCAAAAAAAAAAAGGATATTGGAAAAGAAAAATCCATTTTTTCTTCTTCCAGTTGAAACACCTTAATGTCTGTCATTTCGGTGAAAAAGAAAATGGCTATTACTTCCAGGGAGATAGAAAGTCACTGAAATCTGGGTGAATAAAGCCAGGCCCTGGGAATTACATCTCTTTGGTAATATAAAATTGCAGGCTGCAATTCGGCTAATGGAAAGACTTCCCATTTGGGTAACAATCAGGTTGTAATTTTAAAATGCTGATGAGGGCACGCACAGGGCATTGACCAGGGAAGCTGGAAATGAGACATCCTGTCTGACGCAACCCTCCCGTCACCCAATATGGTTGCCCGGGACACCCAACCATCTATAATTAGAGTAACTACTAGGTGAACAAAGGCCACTCCTGTCCCCTTCTTTTTATAAAATCCATTCTATTTTTATGAAATCAAGTCACAGGGAATAATTTTCTTTTTCTTTTCTGCGACATCTTGACACTCAGAATGTGACCTGAAAAAGTTGGAAAACCGTGGACCAGCCTGGAGGAGCCTGGGGGAGCCCTGGAGAATGGGGAACTGGGAAGGGCCAGGGGAGGCGGAGGGAGATGGGTCACAGTGTGAAGAAAGCTCGAGGAATCAGACTGAGGATTACAGGGTGGGGGGAGGTGGGGTTGCAGGGTGATTTCTGGGAAAGGAGATGATTCAACCTGGTGGGCAAACAGGGAGGTCCCCTGAGCAGAGGTCTGGCTGAGCAAGAGGCACCATTGGGCTTTTTCATTTTGTTCCTGATCATAGGCACAGTCTGCCTGAGCCTGCAGTCCCTGTGGTGGGCTCTCCCCTCCCCCAAATGGAACCATTCCTTCTGGATTTATTGATTGAAAATGAAATAGAAGAGAGCCCC